CCCCCCCCCCCCCCCCCCCCCCCCCGGCCCCGGAAAAAGACCAAGTAATAATAATTGAAGGACTCCAGATAATTCAGTTTAGTGAAAATAATTGTTCTTGGTTATTAAAAAAAAACTTAAGATGGGTGCATGTTTTGAAACACTAGTTCAAGGCAAAATATAAACTAAGTGCATGTTTGGCAAATCTTAAAATATTAATCACACATTCTATAGATCTTGCTGCTTAAATTATATTTTAATCACTCTCATACAAGCACTAAACCATCATGAGGCATTCAGTAAGTTGGTATTTAGTACACTGATGGAGAAAAACTCGACGGTGGCAATATAATTGGAGGTGTCCTAAATTATCGATGGACTTGCTATTATAGACATTCTCAGGCCTTACAATTAAGGCGTAAGCCAATGTTTGCATCAACCCCTTCTGAATTCAAGGCCCTGGAAGGGGTGGGAAAGCTGTCGTTGCAATGCCAAAAAAGGCAAGTCTCAAGTCTTCGATGAATAGACATGGAAACCATAGTGTCCTCTAGTTTTTAAAATCACCTCTCTTCTCCTCCAGCAACCAGAAAATGCCACCACCGCCATCTTTGATCCACACCACCACCACAACCCACTACTAGTGCCGACACCATACACCTCCACCTTCCAGCCCACTGTACATTATCAAGAAAACTCTTCCCACGAAAATCAAACCAAGAAAACTCACCTACCATCGAACAGTGGCCACCGACGCCACCCACAAGATGCCGCACCTAAATTGATACCACCACTATCTCAAACCGCCAACCACCTTTGCAACGAAAACTCACAGCCAAGAGTGAAATGGTTGTCAAATCCTCTGCAATTTCAAAACCCAGCAAAAATCCACCGTCCATTGTCGATTTCAAAATCGACAAACCCCAAAATCGCATCAAAGATCTAAGAATATGATCTATACCAATCGCCACCATCACTAGTGATTGTCAAATCCCCACACAACCACAATCGAATCTCATAAAATCGAAAAATGAAAATCAAAACTATTAAAAATCTTCAACAAATTTATGAAAGAAAAAATCTAATTTGGGTGGTGGCACTGGCCTTTGAGCGATGGTGCCGACATTGTGATGTGGCGGTGGTGATTGCAATTCCAGCTAGCCTTTGGATAGCGTTATTGACCACCGGTGTGGGTGTGAGTGGGGTAGAAGGGGAAGGTGGATCCATCGACTTCAGGGGTTTTCATTCTTTTAAAAAAAAATATATTTTGTGGTAGATTTGTGAAATTGCCATTTTACCCTTACCAAATTTGGTCAAAATCAATTTTTTTGGTCAACTAACAGTCAAATGGATGGTTACTATCCGTTTGGACCCTAGCTGCATATTTCTGAAAAGTTAGGGACGTTCGTTGGTACAAATTCACCTTTGACAATAACAAATCATAGAGAATTATAGAAGAGTTTGAGGGATGATAAGCCGACAAATAGAGGATTTGGGTTATCTGGGTTGTCGTTGCTGAGGTTTGCAATTATAGAGAGAATTGTAAAGAGGATGAGAGAATAGAGATAAGAGGTGGAGAAGTTGTATTTTATATTGGTTGGGTTGCTGAGGTTTATTTCTAGGGTTTAAGCCGGGCCGAGCTCGAATGAATCTCTCTCTCTCTCTCTCTCTATATATATATATATATCAAAAAATTTATCATTTACTATCATTCTCGAGCTATTCCCCATCCCTGGGCCTATTTTGGTATCAGAGCCATAAAGGTTTAGAGTGAAGTTATAGTGTCTTATTGTTATAGATACCTGTCAAAGGAGAAATTGTTGTTAGTCTGGATGTCTACTGAATAGCGTTGGTCAGCCGTGAAGCTAGGGTAAGCATTGGTGGTCCCGTTGTAGGCTTGGGGAAGCGTCAGTCTATCATTTAGTATTGTGTATATACAGTGGTATGTTACTGTAATCTTATTTTATTCAATTTTATCTTTAATGTCAAATGGTTTAGGAAAGGTAGTAGTTTCAAACAGTAGAAGTGATAATTTTTCAAGTCTTTTGGTATAAGTTAATCATCTTCATTCAAATATTATGTTCCTAAGAGAATACATTGAGATTTTCAATCCCAGGGACTTAAAAGGGATTTTGAAAATGCTCAAAATCCCGTCCATGCTCGTACTAGAACAATTCCAAATCAAGTTATCTCACTATGTGACAGGCATATCAAAGTTATATTTGATAAACCCTCTTCGTCAAATACTTCTCATAGATCTTATTCTTCCATATCTGAATATAGATCTGAGAATAATCAATCTGCTAGATTTTTTTACCTCTTCTGATAAATTCAAAGGGGTAAATTTCAATCCAAATATTCCAGAAACCAAATATTCTGATAAGGATGAAGAGCTAGAACAATCTGATTCTCCAACTCTATCGGATATGCTTCCATAAAAAAGGCTTGATCAGCAATGTATTGTCATTTCTTCTATTATAGATAGAAGACATGAATCTAAAATTGATCAAACTTCTTCTGTCAAAAATTTTAGACATACTCTTAAACAAATGTTTTCAAAAGAAGAAATAGAATCTCTATGGAAATAATTTTTTAATTCTCCTGAGGATTTTATTTCTATGAATGGTCATATTTCAAAGTTTTTGGCAAAAGAATCTCTAAACAAAAATCTATTCAAAGTACCCATGTTAACAAGAACCATACAAGAATTCATCCAATCAAACTTTCCAATCTGAACATCATCCGATGCAAGAAATTGTTGTTTTTCATGGAAACACTGAAATTATTGCATCTCCTCTCAAGATATTACCTGATTTAACCGTTAGAACGGAAGAATCCAATCCAATAGTTAAAGATGTCAAAAATATTATTTATGAGAACAATTATGCTAATATTATTTTTCAATCAGTTTGTTCTCAACTATCTAGAATTGAGAATAATTCTAAGTCGAAGGAGAAGAAGCCCATAGAGTCAAATCTTATTTTCAAACGTACTGACTTAAAAATGCTTCCAAAATTAAAGAAAAATACTCTTGTCAGAATCAAGTATTTTACAAGAACTTGTAAATCAAATTTCTAAACTCGAAAACTCCAAGGATATCAATACTTGATAATCTTGACAACATTGAGTCTCAATTTATTGAAGATGAACCTCTTCAAATCAATAAATTGAGGGGTCAGCATTCAAAACTTCCAAATTATTACAATTGTCCCTCTTATCCTGATATGTTATATGAGGAAAAGGAAAAACCTCAAAAATCTAATCCTGACGATGAGATCATCGAAAGGAATATTGATGGTCTTACAAAATTTCAAATTATTAGAACTATTGAAAACATGGTTGTATGCTATAATGCATATTTCAGTCGTGATGTTTCTCCTTCAATTGCCTATATAAATTTAATTACTGGGTTTATAGGACAAATTAAATTTTGGTGGAATAATTATTTCAATGATGCAAATAGGTCAAAGATTCATAATGCTACCAATGGACAACGTCAAAATGATAGTTTCAATACTTTAATATATTCAATAATATAGCATTTCATTGGTATTCCTACTCTCCTTCAAGAAAGGTCATCCGAAGTTTTATTAAACCTAAGGTGTTCTAAACTTCGTGATTTTCGCTAGTATAAGGATATTCCTTACCAAAGTAATGATTAGAGATGACTGTAATCAATATTTTTGGAAAGAAATATTTATTTATGGACATTCAAAATTCTTTGCTGAAAGAGTTAGAAATTCTATTAAACTCAAATATAATGACTCAATTCGTTATGCTGACCTAATTTATGGTGAAATTATTAATTTCGTCAATAAAGAAGGGTTAGGATTATGCAATGATCTTAAACTCAAAGGCGAATTGAAAATAGAAAGATCCGATAGTGGAAAAGAACTAAGATATTTTTGTGAACAATATGGATTTGAAAAGATCATCCCCTACCTTCAAAATCTAAAAAGAAATATCTTCCTCATTTGAGAAAAAGATCTTTTTCAAAACATTTTTAAAAGAAAAATATTTTTTCAAAATTAACCTTAAAAAAACTCAAAAAGAAAGTTTTCAAAGAAAAGATTTTCAAACCTTCCAATATCACTTGCTGGAAATGCAATCAATCCGGTCATTATTCCTATGAAGGGAATGATTAACAACCTGAAGAAGTTAAGCTTGAACTTCTCAATTTAATTTACTTAATTCTAGCTCGGTAGAAGACTATTTTGATTCTAAACTTGAAATGGTCTATCAACACCATTAAGGTTATGATGTTGAGACTAATTCTAATTCCTCATATATCAACATTAGAATTAACGTTGCTTCGGATATTCCAGCCAGAGAGCACTGTGGATTTTTGTGGTTTCATAGGTTTCAATTATAGTAAAATAGATACGAATTAGAGATCTTTAGACTTCACGTGTCAACACTTTAATCTTAAGAATGTTAATTAAAAAAAAAATGATTTTCTAAATTGTGGGAGAGTAATTAGACTTGGTGCAAATTTTTCTTGTATAGAATTAAATGAGGGGTTTAGCGCTCACTGCTTCAAACATTATTAAATTTGCCTAAATTTTGAAGTAATCATATTGTGCATTCATGAATTTGATTTAAACAGCATGGCGGCGTCTTCAAAAATTTACACAGTTCAATTAAAAATTTAAGCTCTATAGTTCAAAGAAAAATCAAAACTGCAATCGAGCTCT